AACCCCCCCCCCCCCCCCCCCCCCCCCCCCCCCCCCCCCCCCCCCCCCCCCCCCCGCGGCCGCGGCATGGGGAGAAATTGTCGTGATTGCGCAATATAACAATCGGCGCGAGTAGCATTCGTGTTCAATCCAATGGGAGTCTAACGAGCTGATGGACTGCATCTTGCCGTGTCCAAGGATTGAGACACGGGATCAACGTCGAGATGCCAGCTTCAGTCAGATTTACGGATACCCAAGGCACAACGATATTCGAATTTCTGGCTTATTTTTCATGGCTATTGGCTGGAGCCCGGCTGGAATGGACCCTGGATCGTGACAAGGCGCATGTCAAGGGTAGGGCGCCCGCAGGCAGACATCAGTCTATTTATTTAATAGATCCAACATATTCCCAAGAGATAAAAAAAAAGTCGGTCGATTGCCTACGCCTTCCTCCTCATCAGTTCCGCTATCTGCGGCGTAGACATAACTAGGCAAGGTACGCTCGCAGCATGACAATGGCCGCGGAATCCCCAAAGCCCAAGGCCCTGCGCCGGTTGTGCGGATCCGAGCTCTTCTCTTCAACCCGTCACCATATGGGCATTTACCGCGCCGTCTCCGTGTCGGCGCGCTATTCAATCCCCTCGCAGACCAAGGATGTCGAGGCCACTCTCACAGCGGCCCTGGGCGACGTTGTCAAGGACCAGCCGCTCATGCGTGTTGGCATCTTGGACGAGGACACGAACCAGGCCGCATTCTCTCATCTCGCCGAGATAAATCTTCGCAATCACATGAAATGGGTCACCACGAGTGCGACAACGCCTGAGGAGTACGAGAGTCGGATTGCCAAGATCCAAGGCGATGCTCATGAAGCGCTTTGGCCGAATGTCGCAACACAAGCGCCTTGGAGGATCATTATCGTTCGACCCACAGAGAAGCAGTACCTCGACATCATGTTTCTCTTCCACCATGGTCTTTTCGACGGCAATGCAGGCGGAGAGTTCCATCAACATCTCCAAAAGGCACTCCGGGCCCAGACCCCCTCCCTCGCGGACGCGGACGTGGACCCGATTCTCTGCTTCAAGGAACCTCCTGAGCTGCCCGAGTCGCTAGAAGACGCTGTTCCCTTCAAGAACACGTACATGTTCGTCGCCAAGGCCTTGTGGGAAGCCAAGGCCCCGGATTTCCTGCAGCCGCACAAGACGCCTGTCTGGGCAGGGAAGCCAGTAGACTATGACCATCCTCACATCACGCGCATCAAGCCACTGGACTTTTCACCCGACGTCCTGCAAAGCTTGCTCAAGGGCTCGAGGGAAAACGGCTCGACCCTGACTTGCACATTCCACGCGCTGATCCTCGCCTCCATATCTAGGAGGACGTCAGCTGAGGAGGCTCAAGCATTCGCCAGCACGACGCCCATAAGCCTCCGTAACTATATGCGCAAGGACGTCAACCAGTGTCTTAAGAACAAGATGCGTGGCCTCGTGACGTCCACGTCACACGACCACTCACCTACCGCTGTATCTGCGCTCCGCCAGCCCGGGGCCACCGACGACCTGATCTGGCAAACGGCGCGGCGCGTCAAGGCCGACTTGGCCAAGAAGGCAGAGACACTGCCTGTGGATGATGTGATCGGTCTAGTGTCTCTGATCAAGGACCTCTTCGCCTTTCATGCCTCAAAGAACAACAAGCCACGCACTGGAGCGTGGGAGATTTCCAATCTGGGCGTCCTCAAGCAGCAGGACGCCACGGCCACCGACGACGGCGAGCAGGGCTGGGAGATTCTGCGGGCCATGTTCTCCAACGGCGCCCAGGTGTCACAGGCCATTGGTTTCAACATGATCAGTATCCCAGGCAAAGGCTTGACCATTGGTATCAGCTGGCAGGAGGGTATTGTGGAGGACACACTCATCACGGGCATCGGCGAGGACCTGTTGGAGTTTGCAGCAAGGTGGCACGAGGAAGGCAGGTTCTTGGCCTAAAGTCAGGTATGATTTTCAAAGGGAGGTATTGTCAAGCATACCACGTCTATTATTGAGCATACCTGGTGGAGTCAATAACAGATGTGGTATGCTTGACAATATTTCCCATTTCAAAGCGTTTACGTTCTTCATCTAATTCTACTTTACCCATAGAGTACATCAAAGTCGTAATATCAACCCCATGATCAAAGAGGCGCAGCCATCCCTTCAGACGGACTTACGCTTGTCCAGACTTCCATTGCTAGTGGATGATTCCCCCGACGCGCCCCTTTCCAGTCCAGTGCTGTTCGCACCGGGCAGGGTCTCACCACTCATGCTGTTCTGGTGGTGGCCAGTCCATGGTCCAGCATGCATGTGGTTTTCATGGCCTTGCCGGACCACGGAGCCAGACATTTCAATGCTCGCCGTGCCCTGCTTGATCGTTCCAGGGGTGAACCCCCTCGTTCCATAGCCCCGGCGTCGTCCGGATCGTCTCTGAACAGATCGTCGTCGTCCAGCCCGTCCACCATGCCGATCCACGTCCCGAATCCGGGGGACTCTCTTCTCTCGCCCGGACGCAGCCAATTCTCCCTCCACCGCACGTACTCCTGCCCGTATCGCCCCTTGCGCCAGAACCCGCGCGTAAAAAGAGGGCACAGAATGGGCGCGGTGACGGCACAGAGTCCCACACACAGCTCACGAAATCCCCAGATGTTTATAGTGATGACGTTGGGCGCGCCGACCATGGTCATGACCATGCGTATAATGGCGGTGGCGATGACAAAGACGCCGGAGAGCAGGAGAATAGCGACCGCAAGCTTTCTGCGCTTGGAGACACGGAGGTGCCACAGGATGGGCAGCGGGATGCTCATGAGCGCCGCGTCGGTGAGGACGTTGAGAATGCACAGCGTCCAGAAGTTCTAGGGACGAAATATGCACTCTGGACCGGGGAGGGGCTTGATCTGCCAGTTGTGGGAGTATCTAGAGGCTCGTTAGTATACCATAAAGGCCCAAGATAGAGTGAAAGCCTACGGGCGGCAGCTAAGGGACACGACGAGGATGAGCGCGATCCAGCTCGCGCCGCAGAACCAGAAAAGGAAGCGAATCGTCTTAGTGCGTAGGATGCCGAGGGTCAACCTCCTGTAGAAGAAGAGCACCATGAATTTAAGAGTCCCTTTGGTATTGTTAGAATTCCGACTCTCCAGTGGACATCAAATATCGACATGGGCAGACAGGAAGGGGGAGCACCAACATATTGTCCCTGGATAGGTGTACCAGCTCGCGAATTCAAGCTGGCTCCCAAATCGCAGCACGTCAATATGGGACTGCGGCAACGTCGCCACTTGTTCTGACATGATATCGACGTTTCCGCCACTGTAATACGTGTACTGGACGATGATGATGTTGATGGTGTACAGGGCGAGGTACTGTCTCCTCCGTCAGTCACTCCCCATGCCACTAGGGTGTAGAACATACAAGGCCAGAGAGATAGTCGTCGCCTTGGAACCCGCGCAGGCCGACAGTGCGGACGCGCACCGCGAAGCGAAGCAGAATGACAATCGTGCCAATCGCGTACAGTGACTGTGCCATGGAATGTCAGACCTGGAATCTTCCTTGACATACGAACGCCCCTCCCACGGAGACATATACGTACCCAGGCCTCTAGTAGATAACTGTCCGACTTAGGCAGCGTTACCCTGTCGCTCGGTTGCCTCATATTGCTTGCTGATATGTATTTCCGCTCGAAGCGTCACACTACTACCCTAAAGGTATCGTTACGGACGGGAAGATCTATCGATACCCGTCGCCGCTATACATACGACGCGTAAAGAAGATACTAACGTATATTACCGAGAGTTAAGCGAGGGCCTAGCTATTATCGTTAGGCGTCTATCTATTTTTATAAGAGAGATAAAACATAGAACAGGATAACTAAAGATCGAGATAGTAATCTTTAACCTTAGAAAGCCTTACTTTACTTTACTTTACTTTACTTTACTTTACTTTACTTTACTTTACTTTACTTTACTTTACTTTACTTTACTTTACTTTACTTTACTTTACTTTA